ACATCCGCACACACACAGGGGAGAAGCCATTTGCCTGTGACATTTGTGGTAGAAAGTTTGCCAGGAGTGATGAGAGGAAGAGACACACTAAAATCCACCTTAGGCAAAAGGACAAGAAAGTGGAAAAGACAGCACCAGTCTCAACTGCTTCCCCAATTCCTGCCTACTCGTCCTCTGTGGCCACATCCTACCCTTCCTCCATTGCCACTACTTACCCCTCCCCGGTGCGCACAGTGTATTCTTCCCCTGCCCCCTCTTCCTATCCCTCCCCTGCACACACCACCTTCCCATCTCCCTCTATAGCAACAACTTACCCCTCAGGCACTGCCACTTTTCAGACCCAAGTGGCTACCTCCTTCCCATCGCCAGGGGTCACCAACAATTTCAGCTCACAAGTGACCTCAGCACTTTCAGAAATGACAACAACCTTTTCTCCAAGGACAATTGAGATTTGCTGAGCGCTCCTTCTGGAACAGGAGTGTTCACCTCTTCCATCGGTACTATCAGACATGGAGTCTCCGATTACTCCCCAACACCATACGTAGCAAGGCTGCCTAACTTTTCTTTAAACTTCAGCTGCCTGAAACAGCTGCTGTTTAAGTTTTCCACCTCTGTCAAATGACTTGCATGGACTGTGGATATAAGTTCAGTATAATTTTCCCCGTAAACAATACTCTTTTAGTAGGAAGAAAGGACCTTTGATTAAGTACATTGCTGATGTAAATTGTACATGTGCCATGGTTTTGCTTTCCTTTACGTACTATTGATGTGAAAAAAAATCTTTGCATATCCACATTGTATTATTTGGAGTTTGCAGGGCCATATTTTGTAAATGTTAATTCTATTTTAGTGACAATGCTGTAATGAATTTCAAACTTCTTTGGGAACAGTACTTACTGTGTTTGAGCATGTTAGAGTGATGCTATGTACATATCACCTGATGAGACACTCACATGTGGCAGAAGTTTTTGTTTTTAAAGTTACAAGTCTTGGTGCCTTTTTGTGAAGCCTTGCTGACGTCATGCATTTATGTGAATGGATGCTTTGCATCTTGCCTTAAATTGAAAGGGATGTTACTCAAAGAATGTATGGGAGAACATGGGATGGGGGGGGAGGGGAGCACAAGGAAGCTCTGGGGGACAGAATGTAAGCAAAAAAAAAAAACTCTCAAAGTTTATTTTTGTTACAAAAAATGTAAATTTATATATATATATATATATATATATTCAGGAGTTGGAATGTTGTAGTTACCTACTGAGTAGGCAGCAATTTTGTATGTTATGAACATGCAGTTCTTTATTTTGTGGTTTATTTTTACTTTGTAATTGTGTTTGTTTAAATGAAAGTGACTGTTTGGCTTCTAAACACATTGAATGCGCTTTCCTGCCAATGGGTTATTTGGTGTACAATACCCTTCAGAAAAAAAATAAATAAAATATCAAATCATGCAAACTTTCACATTTTTCTTTAAGCTGCTGCATAAAAAGACTGTACTGCAGCAGTCTTTTACTGAGGGTTTCAGTGGCTGGGAAGTAACAGGTACTTCTTGTCTCTTGGAGAAATATCTGCTTTAAAAAAACAAAAAAAAGGAAGGGAGACTTCAAGCACTCCTGAATCCAGTTGCTGGCAAAGGTATGGATGGAGGACACACGCTTGCATTAGGTGCATCAACTACTATTTGGGAAGTAGCCATGATTCTTCTCTTCTGGCCCTGGCTTCTCCAGAAGCATGTCAGCAAAACCAAAGAACACCAACTGTTCCCATGGTGAAAAGAAGGTATGAAAACTAGTATCTCAACTGAGTCTTCACAGACAGTCAGAAATCTAACTGGTGTCAGGAGAGTGATGGGAAGATAACAGCATGGTTTTGAGCCTGGAAATGCAATGAGCTCCAGTGAAAGGGCTGAGGGCTGTGATAGGTTCCTCCTTGACTCAGCATAGGGCACAGAAGCCCATATGACTGATAGTCTTTAGAACAGCTGTTTCAGCCTCTATAGGAGGAAAAGCCTTCCCTATGTGATGGTTTGAAATCAGGGTGTGTGGCAGCTTCCTCTTCCTATGGCGTGAATTCCGAGGCGATTGCAGCGATGAGAACTGGCATTGCAGGTACAGAGGGGGATCCTGCTGTCAGTTCTTTCAGGAGGACTCTCTACAGACCACTGCTGTTCAGAGTTGTGAGGAGCTGGGGTGCAAATATAAGCCTTGATGAATGCATCTGGCACCGTGTAAGCCAGCAAGCAGTCTCTGTAGGAGGCAGGGAGCCACCAGCTAGAAGCTGCAACCTTTTGAAGCACCTGGGCTACTCCTTCTTCTGGGGAATGCTGCCCACCTCTGACAAATGGCAGCAATTTGGAGGCTGTGTACGAGTGGAGTAGTTGATAAATCCCAGCCCATTTTCTGTCAGGTAGGCCCATCCTCAGGGGATTGGGACAAGGTATGGGGAAGGGCCTGTGCTGCTCTGTCTGTACTCGTTTGTGCCCACAGTGCAGGGTGCAGGCTGGGAGCTGCTGAGTGTGACTCTGTAGCTGGCTCTGTAGGTTACATGAGCTGCGGGGCCTTTCCAGAGGAAAGCACTAGCCCTTCTCAAACCGAGGGGCTGCTGCCAAGGAAGATTGGCTGGGCAAGCTGAACATGTCTCTTCACATTGTCTGAGCATGCAACTCATGTCAAATGCCACAGAAATCCACTTATGGGAGAGGAGACTATGACTAAAGGCCTTGAGGTGTGCTGCCTTGAAGGAGGAAGCAAACAATGTTATGTAAATCTAACCACAAAACTTTCTCCCAACTCCAGTTCTCAAAGTCAACAGCAAAGCAAACAGTTGGAGCCAGGCCAAACCTCTTCTGGTCCATGGGCACAGCTTGGCTCAGATATTGCTGTGTTTAATCTAGTCTAGCCTGCTGGAACTGCAATCACACAAAAGACTGACCAGGCCGGCTCTTGTGCAGCACCCAGTGAGCCTTGGGCTGGCTCAGGTTTGCCAGAGCACTTCACAGAGACATGAAGAGTGATTGTAGTTGCCGAGTCTAATGAGGCAGCAAAGACGGTAGCTCCTCTTGGGTTGTGCAGTGAGGACTGAGTCAGGCAGCACTGTGGGCCTCTGCAGGAGTGAAGGCCAGAGCAACCCTTCTAGCAGCAGGCCGTATTTCTGACATGTGGCCGGCCTTCTCCGCGCACAGGAACAGCCTGTGGGTGCCAAGGCAGCAGCGAGAGGGGCTGGGGTGAGGTCTGCAAGGCTTCTCTCTGGCTAAAAGCAAAGCTGGGCCCCCTCTGCCCCATAGTTTCTCCAGTTTGTGATGGTAGATCCTTTCAAGTTGTGGAGGCCTCCAGAAATCTGCCCCATTTCCCTCCCAGCATGTCACCTCCTTAAGCTTCCTCTGGAGGGCTGTCTCAGCCCCCAGTGGCTGGAAGAAGCCTATCCTCCCACGGCTCTGGGCAACAGCCACAGGCGTCTCCAGGTAGCAGCTGCTGACTGCGGAGGGGTGTGAGGCACCGAGCCAGGGCTGGCCCTGCAGCAACCCCAACCAAAAGGCAGCGTAGCTGACCAGTGCAAGGCAGCAATGCTGCAGGGGAAGGCTCAGCAACTGAGCACTACAGACTGTCTGTAAGGCCTCCAAGCTGGTGAACAACAACTTCTAGCTGGGGGTGACTGGTCTGAGCCAAGTCTTGCTGCAGGAAGCTCCCTGATACCATGGAGCTTCTGTTTGGGGGAAAACAAACAATCCAACTTATTTTGTAAAGTGTTGACATATGCCAACAATGGGCACTTTCCTGGGAATGCCCTTTGGTATAACTTCCTAGAAGGTGCTCATACTTTGGCATTTGGTCAACCCTCCTGCAACTTTTGCTTTGCATTGGCTGTCTCTGTTTATAAAGTAAAGCATAGAAAATGCACATTTTTTTCACTTCTGCTCCTTTCCTGGCCTTTGTCCTCTAATGTGAAAGCAGACTGCAGGTTTGAGAAATGCATTGGCTGTACATTTTCAGTGAAGTCTTTTTGTTTGTTGCTGGTCTGAAAAGGACAGGAGTTTCGATTCTTAAAAAGCTTGCTCCCCAGGCTAAGTTGGAGAAGGAGAAACTTCCTTCGAGAAGGTGAGATGGCTGCTAGAGCGGCGCCTCAAGGAGGCTGTTCCCAGGGAAGCGGCAGGGG